GCAGGGTTTCGGCGCTCACACTCGGAGAAGCTACCGAGGCAACACTTGGAGATGCAGCCAACTCTTCCGAGCGACTGGTATCACGAAAAAGATAAGGTCTGAACCCTAAACAACCTATAACTTCAGCAAGATGTGGCTCAGACCCCCGTCAAAAAAATGATAACAACATAGAACCCCTGTTTATCACTTCTCTTAGTTTTTGCAATCGAGGCTGGGGTAGCGTTCGCTCGCAGGAGATCTCTCAAGGCTTCAACAGACAGCTTTCCCTCATTGTTCACGTCGGCCTCCTGTCGGTTTCGGCTTTACGCTCTCACAACGGTCCAGGCAGGTGAGGTCTCTCGGTTCGCGGTCGGATTTGAGTGAAACACGCCCCCACGGCTAGCAGCAAACCCTAAACAGCAGGCTGTGGGTGTTAGAGTGGATATTGCCACATCACAACTTCTTCGGGCTGTTAACGTCCAAAGCCTTGCCTAAATTCAACTCCTTCAACCAAACACGTGAACATTAGAAGGTGCATCCGTGAATGGCGACCTGTCTGCAAACATGCTCTCACATGCAGGGACCTCCAATTTGGAAAGCCTTGTGCAAACTCCTAAGAGGTGGTCATATCATTGTGCCCAGATTGAGCCAAGAACTACTTCTTTCTCGGCCTGCTTGGATCCGCATACGGGCGGCATACGGTTTCGGGGTCTGTAGTTTTCATGACTTTAATTAGTTTACGTTGCTCGCACAGATTTGCAGATCCGAGTTAAATGAGGCAATAAAGGGATTGATGTACAGTACGTGAAGGCAAAAAGTGACTTACCCGCAGGGCTTGAGCTCGTTTATGCATCGGCACAGCGAAGCCACTGGGGGGTATAGCAAACGGATCAAAAAACCAAGAGCTGACTGACGTAAGTCTGGCGTCGAGCCTTGAACAGCTCCTCTGCATAAAGGCAAGCGCAGTCTTGTTGCACTGAACTGGCATCCTGCAACAAAGGGCTACCACGATTATTGCAGGCACTTGGCTTTGGCATTTTGCCACAGACACAGAAAAACAGATCCCAGAGCACGGTCGGACCGTATTGGTTGTCCAAGAAACTGAGTGGTGTGACTACCATAACTTTGCCATTCTCTGTAGACCTGTTTGAACCTGGATGTCCACATCAGCCACCACCACCACCAACAACAACAAGAAGAAAACGACGACGACGACGACGACTACTACTACTACTACTCCTACTACTACAAATACTGCTGCTACTACTGCTGCTGTGCCGGCTACGACTACCACCACAGGTACGATGACGACTCCGACTAGCACGACTAGTACTTCTGCGACTACTACGACCACGACGGTGGCCAATGCACCGACGATGACCGCCGCTGCTACAGTACACATGCTACGACAATGATGGCCGCGACGACCTACAGCTTTCGTTGGTGGAAAGATGACTTTTACATTTTCAGTCGGGGAGCGCCCAGCGCAAAAATTGAGCCCAGGCTGCCCCAAACGTGTAGCCACTCCTGAAGCAGTGGAGGGTGTTGGGCTTAAGGCTTCGAAGGTAAACTGTCACAATGTGTTGCTCGCCTGCTCTCTTCCAGCCAAGCTGCATCAGTAGCCAAGCCTCTCACTCGGCTCTGGACGTAGTTCGCCTTGTCATCTTGCCGTCCTCTCACTTCACGAAGCAACTCTGAGGCAAATAATAGCTGCAGCTTGTTGAACTAACAGAACCCTGCCTTTGACACAACACTCTTCAGCAACAGCAACGCGGCCTGATAGGCACATCACCTGGAACTTGCGAAATCCGAAGCCCTTCAACAGAAACTGACCCCACGTCCTTTCAGAACTTCGCAAAGGGAAGCTTTGACCTCATGGTGCATACATGATCCAACAGCTACAACTCTCCGCAAGGACTCTAAGGAACAGCCATAGCGAAGCAGCCGTAACAGCTCTTAGTCCTACCTTGAACTACCATACCAACCTACCTAAACCTATATTTTTGCATGGCGCCGACAAGTTTTAAACTCGGGGTCATAGTAAGAGCCTACGAAAAGGTAGGGTTGTGGTAGTTTAAAGTATCCCCACCCCAGGACCCAACTCACCGGGGCCGGGGACTTCTTTGGGGGATACTTTGCCCACCCTCTCGCCGCTGGGTCCAGACCTTTGAGCTGAAGGTCTGTCTCTGCCTGAATTTCGAACACATTATGACATATAGTATTATAGCATATTAAACCGTGTGTGTCTTCTCCCCCGACCGACCCACTAACTACTGAAACTCCCACTATGTCGTAGCGTACCTTCTTTCTCGGCGCTGCAACGTGTCGTGCGCGCCAACTTCTACTGCTGGTACTCCATACAAAAAGAACCTTAAATCCTCATTGAACCGCAAGGTCTTTCAATCCATGAAATGCGAAATCATGCCCACCAAGCCAACCCCCCACGAATCATTCTTGAGGCCCCTCTGTCTCCCGTAAACCTCAAACTTGAGCTTAATGGCCTGTCCAGTGAGCTTGTTGGGCTTCACACCGGCCGCCCAGATCCTCGGGCTCGAGATGTCTGGGAAGACTCTTAGGGGCTGAGTACCCTAGCCCAAGAAAGCTTGGAGTTTATGCTATGTGTTATGCATGCGGCTAAATCCTCATACTCTTATCATGCGGAGGCAATTCGAATCCCAGCAGCACGCAGCCGTGGGGTAATTCTTTCAGGTTGGCATGCCGGTCCGTCATCTTCACCTGGTCTTCTGAGATTGATAGTTTGAGACCCGTCACCATGATTCGGGATGTTTCGGGTCAAGCTGCCTGACAGTTCATCCAACTTAAAAGGAATGAGATTTTGCCGGAACGCTTTGTCAGCTGTGACCTCAGTGACCCTCCAGCCGTTGAGAACCTCCACGCCCTTCTGCTCAAAGATCTCCAAGCCTCAAGCTTCGAACACATCGTGTGCAACTCACTGCGATAAACATCTCCCCGCAGTCGTCCTCGGGTCGCTGAGAACGTGGCTCTTGATCGAAATATCGCGGCTGTAAGTGGAGAGCAGGTGGTCCTCCATGTTCACCAAAGAGATAGACACCTCAGAGCAGCAAACCATCCAGGCCCTGTACCACCTTCACATGTTGGTGTCACGGCCCATTTTTATACTGACAAAGATCCACTTGACCTTGTCTCAATTGATGTTCTTGCTTGGCCTACTACTCCCTCTTGATTAGCAACTTCTCCTTTCTGCCTCTGCTCCAATTGCTGCTAACCCTGCAGCCCTCTTCCTGCCTTTCAAGCTTACAGCAATACAAGGACTGCGCGGCTATCTTCCCCAAAGCCCTGAAAAAGCGCACCAAGCAGATGCCGGCGGGAGGCCTGATCACACAGCTTCGGGTACAGGCGGCGGCAGTCCTGTGGATTAGGACTCACCCAACCTTCCTCCAATGTTTCCTAGCCTTACGGCATGAAAGCAGCAACATCGACCCCGGCCAAGAGCTCACTACAGATCGAAATCCAGAACTTGAGCTTGCTATCTGCTCCTCTTCTACGAAGTCGGCGAGGTCGGCAGCAATCTCAACACCTGTTGGTCCACCTCGGGCAATCGAATGATGTGGCTCGGCAGCTGGAGAAAGGGGCCAGGAGTCTACGACTTGCTGCCTTGAGCTTGAGACCTGGCGCGCTGATGTCATGGCTACATAAAACTTCAGGACTTGCTCAGTGTAAGGGTGTCGGATGGGCAGATCGATGTTGGACCAGCTTCTTGCAGAATGACTGCACTACACGCAGTAGCGCGCAGCTTCTAGAATCTAGAACAAACAACATGCGTGAAGGCTCATGGGCCTACAAGGAGAGACTCTCAACTACCATGGATTCCTGCTAGCCCTGCCTCCAATAACGATGAAGTTAAGAAGAGCTTTTCGGTCCTGCAAGCACCACACCGTCCCCAACATCCGCAGCGCTGGCGCCATCGATCTCCCAAAACCCTATTAAAAGCCCGCTGTGGTTTAGTACTTCCGATGCCCCAAGCCAATCCCCAATTACGCATCCCGTAGCTTGCTAGGCCCGGCCTCCGGACTCTCCCAAACAAAAGTGCCATAGAACACCGCAACACCAAACATCCCCAACCCCAAAACACCCAGTATAACACACACACACACAACGGCACCAGATGCCCATGCCCTGAAGCGCTCTATACATTTTCCGGTTGAAAGCTGAGGGGTTTGTTGGGCCTCCCGCCTGGCTAGGACGAACCTAGCTGAGGCTGAGGTTTTTGGGCTTAGGGGGGGGGGGCTTTGGGGTCCCGTCCTCTTCGGAGATCGATGGAAGCGAAGCCTCCTCAAAGAGATCGGAGATGCGTGAGCGGACGTTTCTTGCGTCTCTGAGCTCCTCGGTGCAGCAGGGTAGGGCAGGCAGGGCAACCGCGACAGCACCGCAAACCTCAAGGCCCTATCCTTGGGTAAACTCTTTGGGGCGATGCATAGCGGGGCTCAGAGTTATTCCGCCAAAAGCGCTCAGAGCTTCAACCCCAAAACAACCTCGATGTACGCAATGTGCTGGCCTGAACAACTCACGTTCGGATCCCATTTGAGCCAAAATGAAACAAACGAGATATGATAGGATATGATTCTAAGACTTCTATTTTAGGCCGCCCAGGCCTTGAAGAAGAATGTATGCTGTCGAACTCCGGGGATGTTGAAGTCGGCGGTTTCGGCGCCCACCGCATAGACCAGCATGTCGTAGTCCAGCTCAAAGACGTGCCTTTGCTCGGCCTTCCGGAAAAGAAAATTAGAATAGAGTTTTCGGCACAATTGTTCCAAGAGAGCCCAACACCCCCCAATCTGCAAATTATGAGGGGCTTCCTATTCATTATGGTTTAAGCCATATTCCTTAAGTAAAGGGAATTGGGATCACTGGGTTTTTCTTGCTCGTTTGGCACTCTAATTGCTGCATGGTGCGGGGCAGTGCTCATCGACTTGGAACAAGCAGTTGGTCGAGCTTTATTGTTGAGGCCCGTTTTTCACTGCTAATACAGACTGACAGTTACTGTACCAACTTCAGCTCCAAAACGTGGCTGCGCACTCTAGACCCTAGACCCTGGACCAGAGTCTACACAGACAAGAAAGAAGTGTCTGACAGTGTCTGATTGTAGTGCTAGATCAAAACATGAATTGTACGCGTACAAGCCTGGGTAAGCAGGAGATACATTTTGTGCTGGGATCTCTGGACAGCATGCAAAGAACCTGCAATACACAATAAGATATATAGAGACCTCTACACAATTTACGAGGTCGGTGTCAACAGCTGCCTTTTGTTCCGCTCTGCCCCAGCCGACTAAACACTGGATCTGACATAGCTCCTAAACCCTAAACCGTTAGACCCCTAAACCATAGCAAAGCAGAGATAAGTTCAGCTCTTTTTCTTGAAAGCCTTCGCAGGTCTCGCCTGCTTCTCGGGGAATCTGTGGTAGTCGGAGCTGGAGCTTACCTGTCTATTCTGCACACAAGGAAAATGGGATCATAAGTTTTCGTTCTCAGGGTTTAAGGCTTAAGGGCCCTAAGGAGCTTAGGGGTCTATAGGGTTGTGCTTTTCACTGCGGGTACTCAGTGTTCTGGCATTTTTGGTGTACTCAGCGCCTCACCGGTCCTCTTTCAATATGGCTATCGGCCCAGAAAGCCCGGTACATCTGAGGGCCCGTGCAAGCCGACAGGAGAATCACTCTCTTCTGCGGGCCATAAAAGTCTCCGGAAGAGGAGCCAACATGGAAAGGACAGTGTTCACTGAGCTGGAACTCTCTTTAGGTGGGGCTTTCCCAGCCGATACTGTGTGCCCTTCCTGGGTTCTTGTTGCGGACTCCATTTAAGTTGTCATAGTAAGGAATCCTCGGTGATGGTCATAGTAAGGAATCCCCGGCACTTGCTATAGATCCCTATGGAATATAGTGCTTAGGCAGCCGTCCAGCTTGTGGTATATGCTACAGGCAATCGAGGCACTCACAACCCCAATTCCCAAGAGCACCCCCCCAAAAAGAATCCTAAACCTGACTTTTCTGGCTTCCCGGGCCTTGGGGCGTATTGCGCGGCTGCATCGAATCCTGATCTGCTCAAGCGAGGGTTCACATGAAACTAGTCAGTCGCGAACGTCATATCTTTATTGATACACGTACATATAAGTATGCATACATACAGACATGCATTCTTGCGTCATTTGCACAAATACCTAGCTAACTGCCTGGCCTTGCCTGCCTACCGACCATGACCGACCTACCCATTCCCAAGCCTCTCCAAAGCCTTAAACATTACAACCCTGAAGCCTGCACACCCGCAGCAAATCCTAAGCCTCTAAACCCCTAATTCTTGATCCCCCACTAATCCTAAACCTTCAGCCCAGCATCTTCTTGCTCTCTGGGTCAATGGCTTCACAACGGGCCTCTAAAAAGTCGGCTTTTCCTGGGCAACGAGGGTGGGTTTGGGGTTCATAAGCTGCCGTAAGACTCTACTGTATATCTCTTACTAGTAGGGTTTCATAAGCAAGGGGTGGACATAAGGGTTCTGCATGGGTTGTATGTCGTCTTGTGGGCTTTGTCTCATGCCTGGGCTAAAGCAGGTGGCTTTAGAGTTGGAAGGTTGCACATCAAATGCTAAAGGGGCTCCGAGGCACACGTACACGTATATGCGCATGGGTGTGTATCTGTACCTACCTAGATCACTACGTGTATGTGTACCCGTACATGTATGTATGTGGTTATGTATGTATGCATGCATGTACATACACATATTGCATTGACGCCCATTATAGCCTGATGCCATTGCATAGTAGTTCCAGCATCCTTGTGAAGTGGCGAGGCTCCATCTGTGGGCTTTGCTACAGACTCGCTAGGGGGATTCGCGTCCGGAAGAAGAATGCATGTACATACATATATGTATGTAACTGTATGCACATATGTACAGTGCACTTGTGCATGCTGTACACAGGAATGCACCTATGGACAGGCCCGTACTGCGAATGTCACTGGATTAAGATAAGCGAACTTGACGGGAACGCGTGAGACACGGATATCCCACTAGCTACTAACCCTTTTTCTCACAACACCGCTTTGAAAAGGACTGGCGACATCGTTCGGATACACACCTCTGGAGCATGTCTGCCCCGCAGCCCATCAAGACCTGGAGCCCTCAACGGTAAACCTCTGTCCGTCAAGCTTCCATAGGCCATCTCACGGATAGGAGTCACGATGGAACGTTCTTCGATGGATCCCATCGTGCAGGTGGGCAGCAGCGGCGTGTACCTTGCCGAATGTTAGCAGGTTAGCAGTGCAAACCCCAAACTTTGAACTTGCTTGAGTGGAACTGCAACCCAGGACTCGAACTGCCAATTATCCTTGCACCTGAGACCCTGGAGACCTGACCGTGTAGGAGTTGGGGAGCGGCAGCTTCTGGCGGCTGGGGGGCAGAAAGAAGTTCCGCATGGACACGACTGTGATGTCGTACATTTGTGCCTGGCTTCCGGCAGCAGAAGTCTCAACCTTGAGCTGAATTACACAATCCTCGATGCCTATGTTCTGTAGACTAAATGCCAGACGGACCAATTGCACCCGAAGCCCTAAATCATTCCAAATCCCAGGAGTCCAACCGCTCAAGCCGCCACACCGACCAAGTCTTCTTTTCAAATCATGAAATGGGCTCCTAGGTTCGTGAGCCCGTCCTCCTGCTGGCTCAAAGCGTTCAGGAACCTTGGACGAGATCCGCCGGGCAAGCGTACCACTAAACTGCTTCGGCTGTTGCCGGCTGCGCCCTAGGATGTCGTGTCATACCCTTCTCATGTGCCGGAATCCTGTTGTTGACACTAGCCTTGGGACTCCTGCGACTGGACTGGTGCCCCGATATTCGAAGTAGCAAACAGTAGAGCGAAGGAATCTGGCATGGAATCTCCCAAACGGTCGACAGTCACTAGCTACAGAAGGTCCCAAGCAACTTGACTGGCACGTGCCCATGAACTGTCAAGCAAACCCCAATCATCGGTCCATCTGAGATGCGATGCTGCTCCCCATCCGCTGCCCAAGACGATGACCTGTGGCGGTGCCGCCAGGCTCCAGGCTTGAGTTCTAGCGCAAGCCTTTCACTGATGAGATATAGGCAGTGTTACGTTTCTAAAGTCTGAACTGGCCCACCCTGACCCCCCCCAAACCCTAAACCCTAAACTCCATCTCCGGGTTGTCACCTTCAACCTCTTGCCAGATGGATGCTGCATAGCTGGCTGCACCTTTGCGAGATCGGATCCGACCAGGGCTAGAGCTGGGGTGAAGCTTTGAGGTCTAGGATACACACCAAGGGTCTTGCACTCCAAAGATTACGGAGGATTACCGCGATGAGTATGAATGTGTGTTCTTTGAAACCCACAGCCCACAAAATGCACAATCTACTGATATTTCTCTGACAGACGAGGCCGCAAGCTCTTTCTCTTGGACCTCCTGGATGACTCCATCTCTGGTGTCGGTTTGCGCAAGGTATGTCTTGCTACTTAGATGTCACACCTGAACTCCTACAAATTTCTTGTGAACCTGCTTGCCACGGTCCAGTAACTGCCAAAGGGCATCTGATTTGGCCTTCGGGGGCTGGTCGAACACGGCCCCAGAGGTGAACAAACCCACATCGTTGTCGCCTCAGCTTTCCACAGAGCTCTGATGGTCTAGCGCCGCCTCGTGAAGAATACCAGGGCAGTGACATCCAGGGACGCAATGATAAACCCCTCGGGAACATGTCGACAATCTCTTGAAAGAGTGTGCCATGTTCATCCAAGTTTCTCTGTGGAAGTGCTTGGTCCCGGCAGACGACTTTAAAAGTCTTGCGGCTCTTGCACTTCACCTGAAATCGAAGCCGAGACAATGACACGAAGCACAAGAACAGAAGCAAAAAGGAGGCCAACTTAGCCCTGCAGCCCAGCCACTCTTGCTCGGCACTGGGCAGCAACAGCCAATGCACATGTGCTTCCGGCCAATAGCGTGCGCTGCTCCGTCTTCCCTGCTCCAAGCGGGGCCTCTGCATGAGGTGGAGACCGCAGCACGGACACTGGCACCGCGTCTGCAAGGCGGGGCTGCGGTGACTGGGCAAATGCAAGCATCAGCATCCAATCCAGAAGCGTCCGCCACGCTTGACTTGCCTTCTCTAAAGGCTTAAATGGCTGCGCCATGCATAATCCCCCTGCATAGTGGCACGCTTGCTACACATAGAACGGATCACCCGAGAATGGTGCAGACCATCACTCATCAGCACTTATTCATCCGGTGCACTCCTGTATTTCCGAGCCTCCTGGTTCATATGAGCGACCAGAAACTTTCAAACACCCCACACACACACACACCATCACACACCGAGATTCGACACTGCTTCGAGATCAGCGAAGCAGGAGGACGACTCTGTCAGCAAAAAATGTCACAGGTAGCCCTGTAGCCCCAGATATTTACAGCCAGACTTTCTAAGGCTCAGGTCACGGAAAAACCCTCCCGATGCAGCATCCAGAAAAGGAGCGGAGGGACCCCGCCTCCCCCCCCCCCCACCCCCCGCCCCAAACCCTCAACCCGAAAGATTAGACAAACCGCAAGTCCTGAGCCCAGATTCCGCAATGGAGCTTCTATTTAACCTGGAGCCTCTATGAAGCCTATAGCTCATCTCAGCCGCAACTTCTACTTAACTGCGATGAGAGGCAGCAGTGGCACACTGCACGCAGCAGGCAGCTCGGGGAGAGGTGCTGCGCCGGAGCAGCGCCAAACGCTCCCGGGCCTGGCCTCTGCGGTGCATCTCTAATTTTAAAACGTTTGCACATAGATGGCTAGTAAAAAAAGATCAAAACCTGCCTCCATTGCCATCGTACGTAAGGCTTGGGTACCAAAGAACCCATAAAGCCGTAGACCCACCCCCGGAACCTGAGAGCCTCAACCCTCCACCCTTAGCGGGTAGAATAGAGTCTTGGGGTTTAGTGTGCCGACCTTTTAAGGAATACAAGTGCTAATTCTTGATGCTTCTAAATTACCTCTGGGCCGATTAGCAAGGGGATCGTACTAAGTACTATGCTGATTCCGAGCCCCAGACTACACCCGAAGGTGGCCAAAACCATGCAACCTTGAGGAATAGCACCACTATAATTAGCCCTGTAGCCTTGACAACAATAGTACTACTATTCCCCAAGAGCTCTTTTATATCAAAAGTCTTGAAGCTTCTAGAGCATAGCTCTCAAGGCCTCTACCCTAAACCCCAAACCCTAACCCCCAAAACCCCTAAACCGCCTAAACCTCTAAAATCCTAAACCCCAAACCCTAACCCCTAGACCCCTCTTCGTCTAAGATCACATCTCCGGCCGGAGGACTTGCCAGAACTGCCGGGTTCTCTTGGAACTCTGGGAGCGTCTTCAGGCGATCCCACTTGGTGAGCACCTCTGGGGCCCCGTGGATAATGAAAACGTATGCGCAGATGTAAATAATAAGACTTGTAGTAGAAGACGCACATATGTATACCTACACTGTATGTATATGTACGTATATGTAGATTGTAGGCTGCATTCGTCAACAGCAGCCACCACAACAAGCCACAATACGAGATGGCGTCGTCACACGGATAGCACCGCATCAGAACGACTAGCGAAAGCAGTATCGACCCCGAGTCCCACGAGCCCAGAAAGGCATCCCTGAGGCAGTGGCCAGCACAGGAGGTAACGGGTGCCCACTTCGCCTTCAGGGTGCCAGGGTTTTCGATATAATATAATATTATACTATATCATATTATATTATGTTATATTATATTATATTATATTATATTGTATTATATTATATTGTAATATATTATATTATATTATATTATATTATATTATATTATATTATATTATATTGTATTATATTGTATTATAT